GACGACACTATATAGATAATTCCATAAAGCAGAGTAATTAGTTTACAAAATTGGTGTGTGTGTGTACACTTTTTGAGTTGTTATAAAGCAGAGTAATTAGTTTACAAAATTGGTGGTGTGTGTCAGTGTCACAGGCTTGGGATCATAAGCATGGTGCTGAAATCTTCAGAGAAACTAAGAGCGACAGGATTTGCTTTTACGACTTGGTTCTTTGCGTTACTCAACATATTCGCAGTCTCCATGATCGCCTTCAAGGGTATCAAACTAACATTTTATCAGTATTCATAATCGACTCTATAAACAGGGAAGTCATCTCTGATCTTGATGCAGATGGGTGGGTTGACAAATTTCTGCAGAAATCCCTTCCAAAGAGATGTTGTTTCCAGAATCCGAGTATGTTTCTTCTTCTCTGCACAAAACATATGAATGTTAAACAATAAATAAGAAAACTTAAGGTATCTTGTTGAATGGTTTTGTCACAGAATATGATTTCCAATGCGTACAGAGGAAGAAGCTGGTTTGCAAGCAACAACGTTAAATCCGTCTCATTACCTGTAGTTATAGTTTTAAAACGTTATTGATACGCTTCCCATTAAGTTCAACAGTTCTTATCTTGAAGTCAATTCTGGAACAGGAAAAAAAAGGTAGTAATACACAAACTTAGACACAAATGTAATTAGATAATCTTTAAGTAAACCACCATTGTAGAAGAAGAGATACTCAATGGTAGTAATGAAACTTGTAGTGAAAGTATTATCTGAGAAACGTAGTAAGAAGCATCTTTCCCCACATCTGAACATATATATACACGTAAAGCTAACAAATAATTAAACACAAAAGTTTACTAATTTAATTAGTAAACGAGTTTCCAAAACTGCTCTTCTTTTTACTCATTTACACAAAATTTATAACTATTAATAGAAAGCTACAGAGGGGAGTAAAATGCAGGAAGATAGCGAGGGAACCTTTTAACATTTGAAAGTAAACAATGGTGTTTCACTTTTAAGATCCAAAAGCCTAACAATGGTGTTCCCTAACCCACTTGCTAATTGCTTGCCATCAGGAATAAATGAAACATAAAGAACAGCTTCCGCATGACCTAACACAAACCATGAAAACTGAAATAAGCAACTGACACATAGCTAATCTCTTAACTAAAACAATCTTACAACTAAGGGCCTGACTGGTTTAAACGCAGCGGTTGCGGTTGCGGTTGCGGGAGTTTGCGGAAGCGGGCGGTTGCGGTTTCAAGCGTTACCAAGCGTTTTGAACGACTGGTTTAGCGTTTGAAAATGGATGCGTTTGCGGAAGTTTTATGACTGGTAAACCAGCGGATGCGGTAGCAGTTAAATAAAAAATGACTAAAAAAATAAAAAATATTACAAAAAAAAGAAATAAAAACACCAATATATTATTATGATAATATTAGAAAAATTGAACATGCTTAATAATTAAAACCATAAATAAAGTACTAAATAATTATTCAAAAATAAAGAAATTTTATAATAAGATAGTACTTTATGATGGGTTAACACCAAAAATTGTATTAAATAATGGGACAAACTGTAAATAACGTTGAATTCAATCAAAAGCAAGTAATTTTCTATTCGAGAAAACAAATCGAAACATATATTCAATCAAAAATAAAAGCAATATATAATGAAAAGAAAAAAATATTCAAATTGATTTTCATCAGTTTGGGTGGAAGACATTGAGAAAATAAGGTTTTAGAATATTGATTAGGGTTTCTGATGAGAACGTGATACAAAGATGAAATATATATATAAGATTAATATATTTTATAATAACTATAAGTAAACGTTTGATTTTTTTTTTTTTTTTTTTAAACCCAACCGCTACCGCCCGCAACCGCAAACGCTTGCGGGAAGGAGCTTTTGAAATTCAGCGATTTCGAGCGGTTTGAAGCGGTACGGAGCGGTTTCTATGATTGGTACCAACCGCTAACAACCGTAACCGACCGCTAGCAACCGCTAGGAGGGTGCTAGCGGGAGAACCAATCAAGCCCTAACAAGATAGACAAAACCTTGAACATTAAACTCTTAGTTCATATGGTTCCAAGGAAGTACAGTAACAAATGAGAATCATAATTAACCTTAGAAGTTAGAAAGATCGTAAGAACCCAGAAAAATCAAAACACCCAGAAGTAACAATGGAGAACCTGAAATCGATCTTG